ATGTGTAACCAAAGTGTTTGTATGTGTGACCTACATTGCTGGTTTGGCTGCAGTCAGAACAATTGAATAGTAAAATGTGTGTTTAGGTTCTCTATTACATTGAGTTATGTAATGACGGTAGAGCGGCTGAGGCAGTAGAGGAAGAAGGACTGAGGTGTGTTGAGGATTCCTACAATTAAAGACATTTGGGTTATCATATGATGGGACTGTTTTGTTTTTTTCAGGGGGGAAAGCAGATACAGTATAGTTTATCTTACATTTATTTGCCAGTATTCTTTGTCTAAGTATTTATTACAGCTGTAAATAGTGTGATACAATAGTAGAGATTATTATTACATTGTTTTTGTTATAAGTTGATACATCACATATGCCTAGCTTAAAATGAGTTACTGAGTTGTTGAGGCAACCTGTAACCGCTTGGTAAATTTTTCATAGCCGTCTTTAAATCACCATTAGGCAATCTTTCATTCTTTAGCTGCTTAACTTTTGGTTACATTTCCCATTTTTTCCCATTTTTTATTTGGTGTACCCACATTAGAAAATTCTTTTCAGGATGTTGTTTTTTACACCCATTTTTTTTTTTTTCTTTATGCCTTTTGCACTCTAACTAGTTCTGTATACTTGATGCTATTTTACCACTGAAATATCAAAACAATTTAACACAGAGGACATGGGTGATATGACTTTTTGTATTTTGTGATTTTTATTCTTTTCAAAATAATAACCTTTACTTATAAATATTGCCCATATAAATACACTGAAATTGTTCCAGTTCCTTAAAAAACAATGTTTTCAAAATCTACTTCTGTTTGCTCGGTTATGTCATATTGTGCAACTTTTAGCTTTTGGCTAGCTTTTGCTCATTTTAACATTTAGCTAACTAATTAATGCTTTTAGTTCCAAACTTGCCTTTTAGCTGGCATTTTACTTAGCTTTTAACTAACTAGATCCTGCTTTTAGCTAACATTGTGGCACTTTTAGTTAGCACTGAGCCTCTTTTAGATAGGTTTTATCTATGTTTAACTAACATTTAGCTACTTTTAGCTTACACCTAGGTTTGTGTTACGTTACCCTAGCATTTTGCAAATTTTAGCTTACTGTTCTGCTGTTTTAGATTTTACTTAGTGTTCTGCTTCTGAGTTTCAGCAAATTTTAGTGGCGTTTAGCACTCAGTATTCACACTGCATTTTCACTGAATGTGCAATTTCCTCTTATTTTGAAATAACATCTACTTTCCAACAATAATGAATTGCTTTCTAATATGCATATTTATTTTGTTATGTTTATTCATGCACAAAACACTGAGCTTATAGCTGTTTAAAGACATAAACTTAATAATTTTCATTACAATGAACACAACAGAATTAGATTTCCATTGTGTGACCCTTACAGATTAAATAATAAGTTGATTTTGTGACATAGAGATAAAACATAACACATTGTATCTTACAAAACTGGTTAAAGAACAAAAGTCATTTCCTGCTTTGACATTACCTGCATCCATTTAATGACATCTGCTTGTTGATCACGTCATATGTCTTCCAGGTGTTTTAATGTGTCATGCTTCCTGCATTCTCTTAATTCTCCTGTCACTGTTGGTGACCTGTCACATTTCGCCAGTCATGCTGAAAGATCACTGTCATCCTCATCATCAGGCCCTGCACTCAGACAGACAGTAGTTATTATTAACTGTGCTGCGCTAAGAGGATTGCTTCCTGCACTTTCAGCCTCCTCACAGTTATTTAAAGAGAAGCTTGTGTTGCCACCCACTCCCACAGCTTTGGAGAGTTAGAGTGTGGACATGGGGAGGAGGGTAGAGACAGAGGATTGATAGCTGAGCACAGGACACAAGAGGAGGGGAAAAGCTGTGCTGGTTTGTTTTCTCAGGGTCTCGTCAGCACAACAGTGTGCGTCACAGAGGGCTGATAGCAGGCTGGTCACAGCTCAGCTGCCTCTGCTGCTGCTGCTGTTGGAGGGAAACCACAGTGAGAAGGGAGGGCAGGGAGCTGCAGCCATGGCCAGCCAGCAGGACTCAGGCTTCTTTGAAATCAGCATCAAGTCCCTGCTGAAGTCGTTGAGTGGAAGTGAGTAGCAGTTTGTCTCTTGTTGTTGTGATCAGCAGAAGACTGACTGAGGCTGCTGCCTGTTGCTGACTGGTCTCAGTATTATTGTTCATTTTACCAGAAGCTGCAAACTCTTTGCAGAAGAAGAAGCGCTCCAAGTTATTTTTCATCTCACGCCTCTCATATTAACCTGAGTGAGGTGATTCTGCATTCCATTTCTGCTGATTTCTACTGAAGTGTACAGATATGTCATTTGTCAGAATGTAAACAGCTCTTAATAAATGCAAGGACACAGTAATAGGATTAGTGGAGGTTCAGCTTGGTTGCATGTCCTGTCCAGAGCTCAGAGCTTCACTGCCTTCCACTCATCCCACTAAAGTGGGACGGGATGCTGTCCTGCTTCATTACACTGTGTTGCTGTGTGTGAGATAAAGAGAAGCTATACCAACAAAAACAGAATAAACCGAGAGAGCAGTTTCACTTGATATGGACAAACCTCCATGTTACTGAATATAAAGAGAAAATTGATAAAAACTGGAATTTCTGTGAAAATACAGTGAATGCTAAGTGTTTAATGACTTTGCTGAAAGTTGATGAAGAAGCTGAAACAGCTGTTAAAGCTAAAAGAAGCTGGCAAACAAGTGTAAAACATTAGGTAAAAGCTAAAACTATCTAAATGCTAAAATCTAAAAGTAACAAAAGACCAACTAAAATGTAAAACTGGCAAAACACTAGCCAAAAGCTAAAAGTAGCAAAATGCCAGCCAAAAGCAGTAAAGGGCTTGCAAAGCTAAAGAACAGCTTTTGGATTTTTGGCTGCCCTTCTGCAGGCGCCGCTAGAGTGAGTAAACTTTCACGAAAGATTTAGCAACTGTTTAACACGGGGTGCTCTTCCTGAAGCAACCTGGATTTGCACCTGCAACCTCAGGATTGCAAGACTGCAGCACTGACCACCAAGCTACTACGTCTGCAGTGAAAGGAAAGTTTAAAGCATCAAAAGGCTAGCAAGTATCTAAAGTAGCAAAATGGGAGCTCAGATCTAAAAGTTGCAAAGTTTTAAAGCATTAGGCTAGCTAAAATATAAAGCATTAACATGTTTAGCTAAAGACTAAAACCAGCAAAAGGATAGCTAAATGTCTCAAAAGGATAGCTAAAACCTAAAGCAACAACATGTTAGTTAAAGCTAAAAGAAGCCAAAGCTAGCCAAAAGTATCAAAAGGGTAGATAGTGGTGAAAAGTTGCAAATAAGCTTAAATATTTACGTATTAAAAGGCTAGCTAAAAGCTAAAGCAGTAAAACATTTAGCTGAAGGCTAGTAAGTTTCTTTCGGCTGCTCTTCTTCAGAGTTTGCCACAGTGAGCAAACTCGCATGAAAGATTTGGCAATTGTTTTACTTCGGATGCCCTTCCTGATGCAACCTGGGCTCAAACCCGCAACCTCAGGAATACAAGATCACAGCACTGACCTCCCAGCTAAAGACTAAATGCAGCTAAAGGGTAGCTTAAAATATGAAAGGCTCAATAAAAGCTAAAAGTAATATGAACAGCTAAAATCTAAAAGTTGAACGGAGTGTAAAACCTAAAATTAATTGAAGAACTCAAAAATAGAGCAAGTATGCTCAGATTTTAAAGAACAAAGTTGTTGTTTTTTTATTGAATTGAAGAAATCCCAATTTAATCTTGTGGGAAAACCCATTTAGAAATTAAGTTAAATGTTTCAAAAAGTACACAAAGTTACAAAAATCAAAAGTCAAAACACCCAGCTCTTGAATAAACTGAAATTGTTCGTATATGAGTGGCTAAAATAAAACAAAGTATGTAGAAGTAGTTAGATAGCAAAACAAAACACAAAATTAAATAAAAAAACAGGAACACAGTTGTGTGAATGCTGAATTAGTGTTCGCTCAGTAAAATCAAAACGGAGAAATGCTAATGCCGGCTCTGTTAGCGCAATATCTTATATGTCACAGCTGAATCTGTTAGCAAAGAGACACCACAGGACAATGTGTCCCCAGCTACGTGTCCAACACCGAGCCATCTCCTGATCATATTGCATAATCCTCACAGTCGGTCACTTTGCTGAAGTGATAAAGGTCCTGGCAGCCTTTACTGCATCAGCGTTTAACATTTTCATTAAATATGTACTTCTCTTTTTAATCCCACATCTCAGCTCCGGCTTGTGGAATGTTTTATGTAATATGCTGGTGAAGATTCTCAAGATTTTGTTTTATGTAATGAATAAAAAAGTGGCAAAAGAAAACGATCTAGACGAACCTAAACGCTGCCAATTAATTATTGGCTCATCTTGTGAAAATTAAACAGATATTATGTATTTTTTCTTTGTTTAATCTATAAAATGGCCTAGTTTGTGTCTGTAACCACCAGAATGTTCCCCTGCTGTCTGTACATTAGACAATGTTTGCACTGTGATGACAACATTAACAGTCTCGAAACCCTTTAGGCATTGGCCTTTGACAGGTTTGTATGTTTAGCTCCTGTAGAACATTGACAAACAGAAGCACAGAACTGTTGTTGTGCAGCTGCAGCACCAAGTTTAGTGTCCACATGAAGCTGGCCCTCCGTCAGCCAATCACAGCAGGAGATGAGCAGCTGGGCGCCAGACACAAAATAAAAAATCCACCAAGAAGTAAAAATGTTGATCAGGTGTCAAAGTCATGAAATGCTTCATTTACTGACAAAATTACTTTAATATAAATAAGTATTAAGTGTGTTATTACAATTAAGATGAAGGTTTTGTGTAAATTTCAGTTTTTATTATGCTTTTAACATGTTTTAGCAGCATGCTGGGATACTTCTGTTCTATTTATGAGGAGCATAAATATTGGTAATATATATTTATACAAGTGGGACTTGGTTCTGTTGACTTGTCCGTTGTTAAGTGCAGACTTTTAAACACGTGCTCAGTTACACAATTGGCCTGAAAAGTTCTCTCTCAGCATGCAGGCACACGCAGCATAATGTCAGCTCCCCAAAATGCTACTTACAGTCACTGAACTGTGTTCTCTCATTTTATTTTTAAAGATTTAAACTAGCTGCAAGATATTAGTTTTATTATGTTTTGTTCAGCTCAGACAGGGGCTGCATATTAACAGCATAGGATTCTTTGAAAGATTGCATAAAATCTTCCGCCTTTCAAACAAGAGTTTTAAAATTAAACAATCTTAGGATAAGAAAAGACAGTTATAGTAGGTCAAGCCTTTTAAAGGACATTACGTGTGATCGCATGTAACATTATGATATTGCATGATGTGTTAGCAAGTAGAGAATGTTGAAGATTACTCTCATCTATTAAAACACAGTATTTTAGCTCAATGTCTGTAAAATGCATTGTGCTGCAACCATTTTTGTTTTTGTTTATGTGGATAAGCTGCAGTGGCCACCTTGACTTTGGCTGATTCCAATAATTAATTAGTTATAGATGTGCATCCAATGATTACTTTCTCTGAGTTTCATTAAAATCCTGATGTATTTTGCTAACAGACTGATTGTGTTGAAGCCAACAGTTAATGCCAAAGTTTTAAACAAATATAGTGCAACGTATAGTGCTTTGAGTATGTGTTGGGGATGACTCTCACCTACTACACCAAATTTTAGCTAAGGAGCTATTCAATTGGCAGTTAATACTATTTTTGTGTCTAACAAGGTGACTTAGTTGTTGCAGCCAATAACCAATAATCAGTTTTATGAGAGTTTCATTAAAATCCATCCAGTGGTTTATGAGGTATTTTTGCTAACTGCACATACAATTGAACACGCACACAGACATAGACAAAAACTTAATTTTCATCTTTTTCAGAATCAGAATCAGCTTTATTGTCATTGCACAGAAGCATGAGGAAATTACATTTCAGACAGTCATCCAAAGAACATTGGTAGACAGAGATATCTGAGGCCGCAGCCTCGTGGGAAGCGCTGCCCTTTTCATTTAGATAAGGAAAAAGGAAAACATGAGGAAAGAGTAGATTAAAAGAACTCATATCTCACACTGTGTCCTTCATGGGACACAGTGTGAGGTTGCAAAAAATCACTCAGCACAAGAAAAAGCAACATACTGGTGACATAAATACATATAAGATTCACGGGACATAGAGCAGAAGCAGGGGAAGGAGCGGGAGGGAAAGCATCCGTCTTTGCCGAGAGCAAGAAGGAAAAAAAAAGTTTATTTAGTGAAGCTGTAGAATTAGTTTGAATTAATTTAAGTTTTAATGACTTTCTTCGGTTTCAATTTGTTTGGGAAATTTCTAGTCAGTGTGGCATATCTTAATACCACAGGGTCTCTATCATTTCTACTTCCTGACTTTTGGCCTAAAACGATCTACAGCTTGTTGCTTCCCCTTTTGTGGTGAGCCACTTATTCTCCCCTGGAAAAAAAAATGGTAAAAATTGCACCGCAAGGTAGAAAAGCATATCACAAAGCAGGTTTAAATTTCTCTTACTCACAGACAGTGGTGTCAGTGTTTCTTACTGTCTGAACAAAGCCACCTCAGAGCTCTGTCTTCATCCTGGAATGTGTGGTTCAGTTAAAGAGTTCACCAACAGTTGCTTAAGTGACTGTTTACTTACTGTGAATGTCTCTCAAAACTAGAGCTTACATGTCTGTGTCTATGTGAGCAAAAGAGACACTAGTTATTTGTTTTTGTATTGTCCTCTCAGGAGCACTACCATGCTCAGGGTGTTTCCAATGTGACGATGATGTCATGCATGCTGTGGCAGAGCTCCTTGTTTGCACAGTCACATGTCACGTCTAAGACTTTGGATGGAGCCCAGGAAAGCAGAAGTAGCTTTGATATGATTACTCTCATTATCGTTTCTCTCCAGTTGAAGTAACTGACATGGGAGTATTTAGAATAAATGAAGAGCTGATATTGTTAGGTTGTGTTTATTCTGTTTTGTTGTGCGTGTGTTCATTATATTGTTGAAATCTAGTAATTATTAACTGGATTTGTCCACACACTCTTCATTCCTAGGATGTTCCCTAAAAATCCTCACCTTTTTGACTATTGTTCTTAAAAATGAAAGGACTAGGATTCCTAGCATTCATGAGGGAATGTGTGCTGCAAATGTCAGGGTTGTAGTCACTTTGGTCAAACCTTGAAAACAGCACTAAACATGATCTCATGCAAAATTGCAGGATGTGATGCTCAGAGTATGGATGATTAACTCTAGCTACTACAGCAACAAATTTAAACTCAGTATCTGTGAAATGGACTGAATTATAGTTGATTTTGTGTTGGCTAATGTCTGATTTGGTGGTCTTCTTGAACTGAATAGAACATTTTTAAACAAAGACCTTACACAATTTGTTAGTGCTCAAAGTATGTGCTGCAAATCAGTCTCAGCTACTATCACTATGTAATTATCTATAAAATTAACTAAGTTATAGCTATTTTTGTGTTTTTAGGGTCATTTGGCTGTGGCAGCCATCATGAATTGGATAGACTCCAAAAGTTAATTAGTTGTAGATGTACATCCAATGATTACTTTCTGAGAATTTCATTAAAATCTCTCAAGTGAGACATGCTGTAATTCAATTCAAGGTGGTGTACTGTCTGCATTGACCCAAAGACAAACTGTCCAAGATTCAAACCGACCTGGATCCCGCATGTAACCGCTGTAAACAAACTCCAGCTATGCTACTACAGTACACACATTCTGGACTTGTCCATGTTGCAGGGCTATTGGCAATCTATTTTTGATACTTTCTCTGGGATATGTGAAAAAACTATGTACCCGCCACCATTCATGTCATTGTTTGAGGTGGTCCTTGTGGATGCATCCTTTAGCAAGTACGAGAAGAATATGATTGTGTTTGGTTCGCTTCTAGCCAGGAGACTAATTTTATGCAGATGGAAAGATCCACATCCCCCGGCACATGAGTAGGCCTGTCACAATAAACAATAAATCAATTAATCATATGATAAATGAAAATTATCAACCTCATTTTCATTTATCGGCTTTATCGTTTCTTAGTGGCTCTCTCTACTGAAGACACTGGATGACAACAGGCTCAACTCTGGTGCTCTTCACTGACCCCTACCTTTCTCTTAAAAAAAAAAAATCTGTTTTAACCGTCCAAAATCATGTTTTTGGATCGTTAAAAGCAACTAAGCTTAGAAAATAAGCTACAAGCTAAGCGAACAGGTTGACCTCAAGGAAAAACCTCTGTCTTGTTGAAGCTCCAAAATTCATAGTTGAAACCCGTGCCTTCGTGTAAAAAGTTGTTTTTCTCTGCAAAAGAAGCTGAGAACTTGTTAACTGGTATTTTATTAAAAGCTTTGTGTGAAAAATACTATGCTAAAGAGCTCAAATCACAGCGAGCGTCTGCCACTTTGAGAACCGACAAAAAGGAAGGAGAGACAGCCCATGTCATGTCAAGGGGCCTCCCTCCCATTTTTTTAAAAGAGACACGCTGCTCGCTACCTCACTATCCATCCTTCAGTTCAAACAGTCATACTGGCATCCAGTGGTCGAAAAAAGGTACAAGACTCAAAACAAATTAACCAACATTTCTTTTTAAATTTGATCATAATCACTTATTATTGTCAAATTTTAAACAATATTATTGTTTATTGCAATAATTTCTGAAACAATTAATAGCCCAGCAAAATTTGTTATCATGACAGGCCTACGCATGAACACTGGATAAGAGAAGTCATATATCATGTTCATCTGGAAAAGATTAAATATGCTCTAAAAGGATCTATTGAGAGATTATGGGACACTTGGCAGCCATTTATATCTTATATTGAAAGTATGTCAATGCCTGTCTGATGTATTCATGTCTGTGTAGCTGATCTGGTATAGGAGGGGTCGGGTGGGAGGATATTTTATTGTATGTTTTATTTTATTTATCCATCCATCCATCCATTATCTTTACCCGCTTGTTCCATTTTGGGTCACGGGGGTCGCTGGTGCCCATGTCCAGCAATCACTGTGCGAGGGGCGGGGTACACCCTGGACGGATCGCAAGTCCATTATTTTATTTATTTATTTATTTATTTGTATGCATGTTCTGAAAAAAAGACGGCTTAAAAAAATCTCAGGTGACAGTTGAGATAATTTGGTATCAGACATTCAGACACAGACATGAGAAAAACATTATTGCCTCTGCATTTGGCAGCGGGCAATGCCAAAAGTGTTCAGTACACAACTGAACACTGATGAAAAGTGTTGTTTACTCTCTGGTGGTCTGTATCTCAAGCTTGAGATGTGGAGTGAAGGGCTGCTTTGTAAATTTAGTGTTTACCCGGGTATAAATATAGTCACTCAGCTATGTCACCAAAGCATATTGGACCTCGTCACTGTGCAGCTAAAAATTCCCCCAGACCCTCCCTGTCAGAAGGCACCAGTTGGTCACAAGACTGGAGAAAGTCATCGCACTGGGAGCTCAGACTAACAGAGAGAAAGAAACATTTCTTCAAATTACTTCTCCCACTTTTTGAAACACACCTGCTGCTGCCATCTCCCCACCATGGAAACTATATCTAGGAGAGTGGAAGCAGCTGACACACATGACAAGGAAACCTGCGGATTCTGTTAGCTAATGTTTGTTTGTGATTCAGGAAAATCCTGGATACGTATCCTCTTTCCCTACTATGAACGGCGTGTCTGTGTGCTGGAGTAAATCCAGTGTCATCAGCTTCATCAAAGGTCTGGGTAGGTGCTGAGTTGCTCCGAATGAGGGAAGCCTCTTGTGGAAGCCATAAAAGGTTGCCACACATGCTGAGCATTCCTAGAAAAATATTCAAATACTCTGTGTCCTGAGAAGACCCATGGGGGATAAAATGGTATCATATCATTGCTTCAACTTCTTCTGAAGCTGAAGTCAACCTCTGACTTTGTTTTATCTTGTAACCAACATGTGCTAATGTACAAAATCTGAATTCTGATTTCATTTTGCTATGTAAGTGTGCAGTTTTCTGTAGCTTAATCATACAGACAGGAATAATTCTGTTAGTATCCTTTGACAGTAATCTAAAAAAATGTGGCTTTTTAAAAAGTTTGAGTTTTATCTCATCTGTTCCAGAAACTTTTGGTCTTGAAATTAAGTGTTTTGGTGAAATCCAGTTTTCTCTTTGGGGTTCTTCTGTCACTAGAAGAGCCCTCCTGGGTCTTCTTCTGTGGAGGTTTAGGTTTATTTGTCATATGCAGATCAACACAAGGTCAACAATGCAATGAAATGTGCAGGACCAGAATAACCATCTTGACTTGACCAAAGCATGCAAAAAAAACAAAAAAACAAAAACAAACACAAGACACCAAAAGTGAAAAAGAAATACATCTGCAGCAACATCTGTAGTGTATATGGCATTATATATTGTACTTTGTATATGGTATTATACTGTATAACATAGTGTATATGGCATTTTAAACCCTTCCCACACTCTTGCAATAATGTTTTTTAAACTGTCAACTCTCTAAAGAGCACAGAATGTCATGATTTCAGATCTCTGCCTCCGGCTGCACTCTTAGCCCCACCCTTTTCTCAGCTCTGCACGAGATCAGCTGATCTCTGTGCAAAGCAGAGATCAGCTGATCAGAAGCTTCTCCCATAGCTGTGGGCTGCACACAAGTGCAAAATAATTTAAAATAATTTATTTTAAATAATAATTTCATGCCAATCGTGTGGCTCATCCATCAATCAGCCATTGTGTGTCATGTGCAATCTTACTTTGAAAAACTGCTTTAGAGTGAGTCTATGTAAAACAAACCGTGAAGAAGCCAGGGACAACTAATTCTGATCAACCTGAGGTGCATTTCCTTTTGCGACTAAATCCTGGAAGGTTGACTTCCATCCCACAAAACTTGTGCATTTTCAATGTTGACAGCTGTGATCACAGGAACATGAATACTCAGAGATAATCTTGTAACCTTTACCTTTAACATGGATATCTATAATCTTCTTACTGAGCTCCTCAGACAGATCTGCCCTTTGCTTTTTTTTGCTCAATGTTCAAACGTATTATTTTATTTTTTAGGATATGTGCGACCATAGTTTGGTTTTATTTTTTAACATCATATTAGTTTGGACAGACAGTACTTAGCCTCAAAAAACTGTCTCCAAAAAAATCTCCTAAAGCCAGAAAATTAGTGAAAAAGATTGTATCGCTCTTTAAACATAACCCCTATCAACAGTTTGGCTAAAGAATGGTCATGTTTTCTAGTTTCCTGGGTCCCTCAAAACTGATAACATATTCTGTAGAAAAGAATAACACCAGCTTGTTTCAATAACCATTATATGCCATGTTCTGTGTAACAGTAAGGAGGGAGAAAAGCTCAGACTCTGCTCAAATCAGAACCGTTTGGACATTCTCTCTGTGGAACGTCTAGCATGGGGACTTTTTGTCCATTTTTGGATAACTCTCAGGAAGCCCCTGATCTTGGATCACCTGTGGTTGACCCATATCCACTCATCCACACAAATAATAATGTTCCTTTTAACAAAATTAAGTCCCATATTGTGTTTTGTGTGTGTGTGTGTGTGTGTGTCTTCCTCAGCCTCACCTGTGGGAAACGGATACAATAAACCTCCCATCCCTCCAGTCAGCTGTCCTCAGGGAGAGAAAGGCCCTCCAGCCATGATGCCCATCAGCATCGATCCAGAGAGCAGGCCAGGCGAGTACGTCCTCAAGAGTCTGTTCGCCAACTTCACCACCATGTCTGAGCGCAAGATCCGCATCATCATGGCTGAGTCGCTGGTGAGTGAGGCAGAAGAAACATACCCAGATTTTTACTGCTCCTGTACTTATTATTTTATAAAGATAAAGCCTAAAATCACTAAGTAACCCATTTATTATCCAAGGAGTGTTACCATTCAACTTAGACAGGTTGCAGAAGTGGATTTAAATGTTTTCCTCCTCAAACTTTACCCTCTAAACAGGAGGGAGAGTCTCATCAAGCTTAATATTAGTGACCTGTGTCCAAACTCTTATGTTAAACTTAAAAGCCACTTTGCAACGTATGAAATGTAGATGTCAAATCTTGACCCCAAAGTCTGAATTAATAAAAGGCCAGAAGGAATGAAGGAGTTGCAGCTGTTTTGGCCAAACCCTTGAAATAACATCAATTTCATACAGAGTATGTGTTGTGAATGACTCTCAGCTACTACCATGTCATATTTTAGCTCAACATCTGTAGTTGTAGCCATTTTTGTGTCAGATAAATTTGATTAGCTTCTTGAATTGGATTTACTCTAAAAGTTAATCAGTTGTAATTGTACATCCATTGAATGTGGTCTAAAAGTTTCAATGAAACCCATCCCACAATTTATGAAATATTTTGCTAACATACAAACAAGGTTGACTTCAACAGTTTAAGTTTAAGCAGCAGTAAATTTGTCTGCTCTGTTTGTAGATGCCATTTCTTTAGAAAGCAGAAGACAGTAATGATTAATAATAAAATTGTGAACTGTTTTGTTAAGTAGAGGTTACAGAGAGTTTGTAGGAATAAAAAGTGGTTCCATGAACAATCTGGCTGACAGACTTTAATCAGGTGGGGAAAAAAAACCCACTGACATTGAACTAAAAATGACAATCTACTTTGTAAGATGATGGGGCGACTATGGCACTGTAAGAAGACTTATCCTCTGCCAATCAGAGAACTGGTTGTTCAATCCCTTCTTCCCTCTAAGGGTTAAGACACTGAACCACAGGTTGCCCCTGATCTGTGAACTATTCTCTGTGTGAAGATGTGAATGTGACTTGTAATGTAAAAACACTTTGACTGGTTAGTAAAACTAGAAAAGTACTATCATTTATCATTGTCCAAGAAAAGCCAGAAGTCTGGAGTCTCAGTATGTTCACACTTCCATGTGATTTTAAGAGGGTCTTTCTGGCATAGCCTTGTATCCTAAGTGGTCATACCATTTTTAGTTTTGTGGAATTTGATTTCAAAGTGCCTATACATTCCTGGCCTCTTTTTGTACTCCTAATGTTAGAAGAAAGGATGTTTTCTTTACTTTGTGTTTCCTCCCACTCAAGAGCAGTCTGAATAATTTGTGTATTTTCAGAGACAGTTTTTTCATTGTCATTCCACCACATGTACGTACGCAGAGTCCCAATTGCATCCAACAATAAAATGTAAAACAGTAAAAAGATCTAAGACATGAAATAAGAAAAACATCAACTAAAAATACGCTAAGCACTGATGGCATAAAAACAAAACACCGAACAGCAGCACGCAGATGAGCGCGCATGAACACAGCAACATGAAACAGATCAGAGCAGCAGCATCATGATGTGATTTTTCACAGTGATTATCCTGGTTAGAGGTTCATGAGTCTAACAGCTTCAGGGTAGAAGCTGTTCCTCAGTCTAGTGGTTCTACACTTAATGCTCCTTAACCTCCTTCCTGAGGGGAGCAGGGCAAAAAGTTTGTGTGCTGGGTGAGTGGGGTCCTTCATGATGCAGGTGGCAATCTTGCTACAGCTGGAAGTGTAGATGTCTGTGATGGTGGGGAGGCTGACTCCAACATCTTCTGTGCAGCCTTCACCACTCTCTGCAAAGCTTTTCTTTCTGCAGCTGTGCAGCCTCCATGCCACACGTTGATGCTGGAGCACAGGATGCTCTCCACTGCACACCTGTAGAAGGAGGTGAGGACTGAGCTTCCCAGACCAGCTCGCCTCAGCCGCCTGAGGAAGTAGAGTCTCTGATGAGCTTTCTTGATCAGGCTGGTGGTGTTGTTGTCCCTGCTGAGGCTGTCATTCAACATTCAGGTGCACACCCAAGTATTTGCAGCTGGAGACCACTTCCACCGCAGATCCTCTTATGTTGGTGGGGGGTGGGGGGGTAGGTGTGTTTGTTCCTTCTTAAGTACACAACCATCTCCTTTGTCTTCTTCGCACTGATGTGAAGGGGGAGGGGTAGCGCAGAGGTTAGAAGATGGGCTTGTGAATCGGAAAGTTGCTGGTTCACCTCCCGGTACCGTCAACATCAAAATGTGGGTGGAAAGGGTGAAACACCCACACCTCCCTCCACCCTCATTTGCCCCACTCTGGGCCCCTGAGCAAGGCCCTTAACCCCCACCATCTGCTCCCTAAACAGGTCTCTCATTGAAAATGAGTTCTCGTGGCTCAATGAGACTACCTGGATAAATAAAGGGTAAATGGATTATCTTTGCACCAGCTCTCCAGGTGTTCCACCGTTAAGCATTCATGTGAAAATATTTACCACAAGCCCTCAATGACTTGTAATCAACATTAAAACTGTTCCCAGCTTGGACATTAAATATATGTAGCAAACATTAAATCTTTTGAATTAGTTACAAAGTTGAACAGTGAGCTGTTATGATGTCCTAACAAAACCTGATGAGGCAAGATGCACTGACTTTTCTGTCACTCCAGCTCATTTGGTTGCTCTAGAGTAAGCATATGGAAGAAAACTAAAAGCTTCATCAAAAACTGGTGCTTAGCTGGAAACCCAGATAGAAAAAGAGAGGATTTCTTCAGCCCATGCAATGTCAGTGACGCACATATCAGACTTTTAGCTATTTTGGATTAATCAGCACGTTGCTGTCTGCCTAATGGGACTAAAGAGGGGAGCATGAAGCGATGCAAAGTAGCAGAAAGACAGCAGAGGCTTTCATCTGTGCAACCGCAAATGAGTTTGTAATTGTTCACTACTTCTTGAAATGATCTGTCTACATTTTTCTGCACTTAAGTTAATTAAGTGCTGTGTTTTAGAGCTTAATGTCTCATACTGGAAAAATGAATGGGAAATTTTGTCATCGTTTTCCAACTTTATGCTTGTTTGTAATCCAGAATGTCTTAGACATTTACAAGAATATGTTCAGGCCTCATTACAGCACTTTTATAAAAGTTTTACAATTCTTTTTTAGTTAGTTTTGTCAATTTACAAACACTACATACACTATCCGTGTTAACATCAAGACTCATAATAAATTAAACCGAAGTCAAGGCATCTACAGGACGATCCATTAAGCAGAATATGACAAAACTGACCTCACATCTCTGCAGACTATTATCTCAGATGATAGAAGAGTGTAATAACAGGAGATGTCAGAAATGTTCCATCTCCAATGTGAAGATGGCCCGGCTTTCTAATGCCAGGCAGCAGACTGATGGATAACTCTCTCATTAGCTGGGTTTAATAATAGTCTCACAGGCATTTCTGACAGGTCAGATGGAGTTAGGAGCTTCAGAACGAACGGCAAAAAACTTTGAATTTTGTTGGACTGAAAACACTCATAGTCGTAAAATAATTATTTTTCTGTGTTTTCAGGAAAAGCCATTAACAAAGTCTCTCCAGAGGGGAGAAGATCCTCAGTTTGACCAAGTAAGTGTTCATTGTTCTGCAGTTGTGTGATAGCTGTGTTGCTTTTCCAACGCATGGATAGACAGACTTTAAAAATGAAGATCTGTTCCACTGTGTTGAACTACATGATGAAATAAACATTTTGCTCGCATCCCAAAAAAAGGTCTTTCATATTCATTCAAGGGCAGGAGTGTTTATCTTGTGAGCTGGCAACAGATCAGCACAAGGTGTGCCCTGCAGGTCCTGAGGCTTCGCAGAGAAGGGCCTTTCACAGCCACAGAGGTGTGTTTGTGCTGCTGCGCGAGGCCATTCAGCAGCCTCACAGAGCCAGGATTCTTCTCCAGCCTGGTGCTGAATGAAGGGCTCGCTGTGTCTCACCAGACTCTCCACCCCTTCCTGTGTGCCCGGCCCGTTCCTTCCTTTACCGCTCCCTCCCACCACACCAAGGGTGGCTGCCCCATGGGCATGGTCCCAGTGAGCACCAGCTCACCACTCAGTGTAATTTCTTCCCTTTAATTTAGCTAAAAAATGTCCTAATTTGGTCTCAGACAACCAGATAATGCATAAACAAAGGAAACTCTGATCAATATCTTTTACTCTGGTATGTTAACTGCAGAACACTAATGTGCATTTGTTTCATGTGTGTGTGTGTGTTTTGTTTTTTGTAGATGATAAGCACCATGAGCTCATTGGCTGAATACAGTCTTCCCTCCATCCTGCGCACTTTATTTGACTGGTACAAAAGACAAAATGGACTAGAGGAGGAGCTGCACAAGTACCAGCCCAGAGCCAACACAAAGTCCAAAAAGTGAGGATAAATAAAATGATTTGTGGAAGCTGTTTATAGGTAGCATGTATTAAATGAGCATATGGAAGGGAAAATTTCATGCACTTAATAGGTGCAACATTCTTAGCACCTGCTGTTGTGTCTGTGCATGTATGTGCGCGTGTGTTTGTTTGACTTGAACAGATTTTAATGAAACTCAGGAAGTAATCACAGGATGTTCATCTACAACTGATCAACTGTTTGAGTCAACGCTATTTGGGATGGTTACCGCAACTTTAGTAAGCTTAAAAAGGGCTATAGCCCAGTCCATAGTATGATTAATTTGGTGTGGTAGTAGCTGAGAGTCATACCCAACCAAAACTTTGAGCAGAAACATATTTGTGTTGAATAATTTGCCAAAGTCTTTTAATCCCATTGAGCCTTGGGGACTCGTTTACAAGAGAGACCTGAATCAACCTAATCAATCTTACCAAATATCAAAATGATGTAACTCTGTCAGTTTTAGAAATATGTTCCCACCATTTATATCATGATCTGGTGTGTGGTTGAAGCCAGGGTGCAGACAGGACTCCGGAACTCAAGAATAAAATGAAGAATATTTATTATTATAAACAAAAAGGGCTGACGTGGCAGCAAAACTTACATTTAGGGATGAGATCACGAGCGGAGGAGAGATGGAACGTGATGCCTAGACAGGACAATCCATGGACAAATGAGAAGATGCAAAGATGCAGAATATATAGGAACACTAACGACTGACACCTGGGGTGATTGAGATAGAGGACAGGTGTGTCAGGAGCTGGCAACATGATGGAGAGCAGGAAAATCCAAGGATCACAAGACACAAAACAAACAGATCCTCTCAATTGTGTGTTGTCCTCCAACCATCTAGTCATCCTTTTTCTTTACTTGTTTCTGTTTCTGGTTGTGGGAGCTGGTACGTTCCTCGAGAAGCGTAGTACGTCCTGGACAGCTCGTTGGTCCAGCACAGAGCCACTTAGAGAGAACCAGTCGTGCTCTCACTCTCACCTAGGGTCAATTAGTTACCAACTAACCGAACATGCATGTTTTAGTCTGTGGGGGGAAGCTGGAGTACAGTACCTGAAGAAAACCCTCATGGGCACAAGGAGATAGACTCCAGGTAATCCTACGACCTTCTCACTGAGAGACGACAACTTTAACCATTGTACCACTGTACCACTGTGCCACCCTTGGTGCTGTCCCCAACACAAAAAGCCAACAATATGCATTATTTCAAGAAATGTTAGTCCTTTAATTGTCTATGTATTTTCTCTCTTGCAGTGAAGAGCAACAGAGAGATTATCTACTTGAACGAAGAGATCTGGCCATCGACTTCATCTTTTCTCTTGTACTTATAGAAGTTTTGAAACAGGTAACTTCTCTGAGCTGCAGAACAAATCTTAGAGTAACTTTTTGTTTACGATCCAAGACTTCAGTCATTTTACTCTCATCCTTTCGTGTCTTCCAACTTTTAACTAGATGCCGCTCTACCCAGTCCACGATGGTTTAGTCAGTGAAGTCATTAATGTGGCCTTTAAGCACTTTAAATATAAAGAGGGGTGAGTTTTGAATCTGTTCCAGCACTGATTATTTTTCCTTTCACATTTTCAGAGCTATAAATGTGTCGGTCTTGTCTGTCCTGCAGATATCATGGTCCAAACACTGGAAACATGCACACTGTAGCAGATCTCTACGCTGAAGTCATCGGAGTATTAGCCCAGTCCAAGTAAGCATTTGCCACATAGTTTTAGTGTCGTCATCTGTGACAGGGGACACTTAGACAGATCTTTAACACCAAACTAGGACTGGAAATGTATGGTTATTTGAACTTTTTAGATGACTGCTGCAGGAAACAGAGCCTTAAAATAGAAATATGAGCTGCATACCTTCCTTCAAAGCATGCTCTGCTTAACCTGCAATAACTTGAGTGGCATATACACATACAGATTTAAATAGCTCTAGGGTTATAAAAGAAATAAACATGATCGAAGAATTTTACGGTCGTATGATATGAGTTTGGTTGGACGTGTCATTTTGATGAATTTTCAGAGAGCATCCTGCCTGAATCTTGTCATTTCGTTTTGTTGCTGTGCGGGCACTTTCAAAACTTTGATGTAGTTCTTGATCCTCAGGTTTCCAGCTGTGAAGAAGAAGTTCATGACTGAGCTGAAGGAGCTGCGGCAGAAAGAGCAGAGTCCTTACGTCGTGCAGAGCACCATCAGCCTCATCATGGGGGTCAAGTTCTTCAGAGTTAAAATGTATCCCGTCGAGGATTTTGAAGCTTCTTTTCAGTTCATGCAGGTATAAAACAAATTTTATTGAAGAAGTACCTTGATAAACCGATTTACACACTTTTCTTTTGTCTGTACTCTTTCTTTGTGCTTATATGTTTAAATTTAAATACTGTGGAAATGATCCGGTGTGTTCGGTTCATGTTTTCAGGAGTGTGCTCAATACTTTCTAGAAGTCAAGGATAAGGACATTAAGCATGCCCTGGCTGGCCTCTTTGTTGAGATCCTGGTTCCTGTTGCAGCTGTAAGCTTCTCCTCTTCTACATGTGTTACACAATCTTTTAAACAGAGAAGTCTTGAATTTGTCTTGTCATGTGAATCAGAGTAATGTTTTTTTCTAGACAGTTATGCACTTTGTTTAACATCTGTGGTTTCTCAATGGCCTTCGTATTAAAAACCCACTTTGGTCTTGACCCAGGCGGTGAAGAACGAGGTGAACGTGCCCTGCCTGAGGAACTTTGTGGACAGCTTGTACGACACAACCCTGGACCTGTCCTCCAGAAAGAAGCACTCTCTGGTTAGTCAGAGGGCAGAAAACAGACACTGACTGTTGATCCTGGTTGTTTTTGTTTGCCTCTGAGGTGGGTGGGTGGGGGGGGGTTTCCTCCAAATGCCTCTGGTGCCTGATGGCCTGGATGCCTGCAGCGAGTCCCCAAGGTCACTCTTGTGCAACCGTATTTCACAACATTAGCGTCCACTGTAGAGATATTTTAGCAGGGCATCAGACAGAACATGAAAGCAGTGCAGTTTATGCTGGTGTATGTAAAACCCCAATCCCTTTAAAGAGTTTCTTATATGGCACATATAGTTTACAGAAAAATTAAAACTGCTCATGAGAGACTGTAGATTGTCCTCCCAGAAGGCCTGTTAAATCCTGAAGCAGCACTTGTAGCTGAAATCTATGTTTTATAAGAGATCAGTGGCAAAAAAATAAAATATAATATTAATAATAAGTTGTCCAACAAAGTTAAGTCAGGTCCTCTGGACGGTTTCTTTGTGTTGAAATGTTTCAGCCTTCATCCAAAGGACTTCATCAGTCAGAGGAGCCACAACAAAGTCAGTCTTATAAGTAGCACAATCACATAGTGGACCAAGTCCTTGATGTTTTGAACCACTTTGACCATGGCTGCCCCAGAGGAGTTGATGGGGGAGAGGGCAGACTCCAGAAACCATCTTATCACCATCAAACTGGTTGCCCCACTATGTGAGTGTGCTGCCGGTGGGACTGGGTTTGTTGCGACTCCTCAGACTGATAAAGTTCTTTGGATGAAGGACAAAATGTTTCAACACAAAGAAACCATCCAGATGACCTGACTGAACTTTGTTGGATTTTTTTTTACCTGGATTATTGAGCATGAACTTTGAAATAATAAATTATTGTGTGTTTTTTTTTTTTAAAGATCTGGGTTTAAGTGTTTTACTGTTCACTTAGAGTCATGTTCAAATATGATACAGTTTTATTATTTTGCTGCTTTTATGTTGATGCAAAATGATCTAAACAATATTAAAAATGAAACGAAAGCCTTGCCTTTGTTTTCTCAGGCGTTTTATCCTCTGGTGACGTGTCTGCTGTGTGTCAGCCAGAAACAGTTCTTCCTCAACAGATGGCATCTCTTCCTCAACAACTGCCTTTCAAATCTGAAGGTAATTTACAAAACCAGCTGTTAAATTGAATTTGGTGGTTTATTAATCGTTAGTGTTGTTTCAATTTACTTTGTTGTTGTCAGAAATAGATCCTATTGTAATGTTGTGTCTTTATTATGAAGTCCTTGTCTCACTAATGTTTTTTTTCCTCTATTTCTTTCAATTTGTTTTACAGAGTAGAGACCCAAAAATGGCTCGAGTTGCTCTGGAGTCCTTATATCGACTGTTGTGGGTTTACATGATCAGAATAAAGTGTGAGAGCAACACTACAACTCAGGGGTGAATAAATTCAGCAACAACAAAATCAACTCCCTTTATTTGCTTATTTCTATTCAGTATTTCTAGTAAATAAAAATATGATTGTTTTAAACTAAGAGGATGTTTTTTGTAGTTTAAATGGTTGGAAAAATGGGAAAAAAAATGTTGCCATAATATCTAAGTACCAAAATATTTGAACGATTTTTTTTTCTTGAACTTGAGGAGAATCAGACCTGCTCAGTAAATTCAGGACCTGTAGTCAACCGATTTATTGAGAAATCACACATTTTTAATATATTTATACTAATCCAAGAATAAACCTATGAAGTCTAAAATGTTAGTTTAGTCTGTAACACACATTTTCTCTGTGCTCACAGTCGACTGAACACCATCATAACAACGCTTTTCCCAAAGGGATCTCGTAGTGTGGTACCAAGAGACATGCCGCTCAACATATTCGTCAAAATCATTCAATTTATTGCTCAGGTAAACACACTCGGTGCTCTACTCTCAACGTTTGATGAAACATCCAGAAACATCTTGTTGGGATTTGTAAAATAAACCAATTTTTTCTGTATTGCAATACAGGAAAGACTTGATTTTGCCATGAAAGAGATCATTTTTGACCTTTTGTCTGTTGGGAAACCAGCAAAAGCCTTCAGTCTTAATCCTGAGGTATGAATTAAATTTACATTTGTACTGTGGTTCTTTGTAAATGGTCACTAAAACAGCCATGAGAACAAGTTAGCTTTAGGGCAACCATGTGGTTCAGCCTCGGAAGCAATAAATTATGAATCATAAACATTTCCCAATATTCTAAAAAAAAAAACTGCTGTGCACATATCATCGTGTTCAACTTTACCTGCTTTAGCTTATTAAATTTATATTTGTTTCTTTTATTTTCTGATTTTTATTTTTATTTTATTTTGAAAACCTTTATAGGAGCATTGAAACTACACTGAACAGTTGTTGGGATTGTTTTTCCCCTCAGAGGATGAATATCGGGCTGAGAGCTTTCCTGGTCATCGCCGACAAACTGCAGCAGAAGGACGGAGAGCCTCCCATGCCGAACACTGGCTGTACTTTACCCTCAGGGAACACACTCCGGGTCAAGAAAACATACCTGAGCAAAACCCTGACAGATGAAGAGGCCAAAGTCATCGGTGAGGGAGACTGACCATAATAACGGACTGATGATTTTTACATGAAAACACAAGTTTAAAATCTGAAAACTGAAGGAAAAAGTTATTTTATGTTCTTTTTTTCTTAATGGACTGAAGTTGATGATGTCATTATTTCTAACCTGCCATTTTCTCCAGGGATGTCACATTACTATGTCTATGTGCGGAAAGCTATTGACTGCATCCTCAGACACCTGGATAAGGAGGTGGGGCGCTGCATGATGATGACTAATGCCCAAATGTTGAATAAGGAGCCTGAGGATATGATCACGTGAGGACGTGTTCTTTCGCCAAAACGTTGAATTTGAAAAATGTTCCAGCTGAACTGAATAAACTGAAAGTTTCTGTCTTTTCAGAGGTGAAAGGAAGCCCAAGATTGACTTGTTTAGGACGTGCGTTGCTGCCATTCCTCGAATTCTGCCTGATGGGATGTCCAAACCTGAGCTCATCGACCTTCTTTCTAGGTGAGTTGCTTTGAACGTATAAACTGCTGTCTGTCCAAACTGATGCGGTTACTGTATGTTTTGTGAGTGATTGCTGATTCAGCATTCACCCTCTATGACTAGTCAATTTCTCATCTCAGTGTTTTTTCTTAGTTGCATAAATGATCTTTTCATTTGCAGTAGTCCCTCGCTACTTCGCGGTTCGTTTTTCGCAGACTCGCTCTATCGCGGATTTTTAAAGTAAGATTGGACATGACACACTGGCTGATTGGTGGATGAGCTGCACGATCGGCAGAGATTTTTTTAAATTTAAAATAAATTATTTAAAATTATTTAGCAATTTGTGAAGCCCACACCTGTGGGAGAAGCTTCCTCCTGCAGCTGATCAGCTGATCTCTGCTCTGCACAGAGATCAGCTGATCAGCGAATGTGCAGAGAGGAGAAGTGAATGTGGCCAAGAGTGCAGCGGGAGGCAGAGAGCTGAAATCATGACATTCTGTGCTCTTTTAGAGTTTTTAGAGTTTAAAAGCATTTATAGAATATTGCAAGAGTGTGGGAAGGGGTTCACTTATCGTGGGGCTTCAGGGTACGGATCTCCCGTGATAAACGAGGGACTATTGTTTATGTAAAACAGTTATTCTATTCTGAATTTCAAACTGTGACGTTTCTCTGTCCTGTTTGGCAGACTGACGATCCACATGGACGACGAGCTTCGCCTCATAGCCCAGAATTCTTTGCAAAGCCTTCTGGTGGATTTCTCGGACTGGCGCGACGACGTCCTGTTTGGATTCAGTAACTTCTTGCTGCGGGAGGTCCAGGACACCCACCAAGGACTTTTAGATATGTCCCTCAAATTACTGCAGCAGCTGCTCACACAGTGGAGACTAACACTGGCTACTCTGGGGAAGAGCCATGAGCATGTTAAAACTCACACCATGGAGGTAACGCTTTTCATCTATAGTCCTTGACAGGAGGGAATGACACACTCTGACTGACATTTTTTTTTTTTTGTTATTTCATCTTATTATTGCAAATGTCAACACATTTGCACATTTGGAAAATGATTAATTATTTTGCCGTGTATGCCGCAGCTGCTGCAGTCCAGCTCGAGTCTGAAGATGCCTGCAGAACGAGGTCCTCACTCCACGGCGCTGCATGCTGTGGAAGGACTGGCTCTCGTTCTGCTCTGCTCCTGCCAGCTGAGCACCCGCAGACTTGCTGTCACTATACTCAAAGAAATCCGAAGCCTCTATCTGACCATTGGACAGTCTGAGGTAAAACAAAGGAAAGGTCAAACGGGAAATATCAGCATACCTTGTAGAGATGGGTTTTTCATATTGTGGTTGTATCTTTGTTTTCTTGACTGCAGGATGATGATAAACCAATGATAGAGATTATGGATCAGCTCAGCCCCGTCATCGTGGAAAGTTTTGTTAATGTTGCAGTTTCTGACACAGTGAGTTGTTTACAAGCTTCTCTTTGTGCTCTAGGGTAAACCTGATCTGTCAAACAAGGTGATTTTATTGTACTTTGCACATTATTTTAGGACACCTACAGTATTTTACAAACAGAAGAGTGAGTCAAACCGTACATTCATTTTTTGTTGAATGAGTTGACTGGGCTGAAAGCGTCATGAAGCTGTAAAAGATAAATTCCCAAATGAAGAGATTAAAATGTCTAAATCACCTTGTTTAAAGTCTCAGCTTCTTCCCCTTTCTTCTTCCTCCACAGAACCACAATCACGTTTTGGTTTATTTAAGTTTTCTTTAGCTAAAGGTCTGGTTTGCGTCATATAGAAAAATGTACAAACACAAACTACAAACAAAGCACCCTACAGAAATAACCGTAACATTTAGAGTTGTGAATATCTGAGATGAAGCAATAAAATGATTTACTGATGTTCAAATGATTTGGTGGGAAAATTCTCTTACATTTTACATACTGGAAATTTAGTAGTAAACCTGTTTTAATCTCTAATTTATAAAATGATATACAGTACCTGTAATGCTTCCAAACTTTTAGGGTTATTTTTGATCATCTAACAAACTGAATAATCTAAAATCAAACAGTGTGGGCTTGAATTTACTTCATTTATTTGCTCATTAATATAAAATAAAATAATAATATGCACTTATACAGTGTCTGTTTTACTTTAAATCATTTGACTTTTGTTTTTTAGAAAGAATGTGTAAATTAAATAAATGATTCCTCTCACATGTCAGTTTATGTCATGACTCCTGACCTTTGCCCCCTGTGATGTCATCGACTCATTGCAGGCCACGCTGCCAGCTGTTCACCATGTGGACCTCCAGTGGCTCGTGGAGTGGAATGCGCTGCTCGTCAACAGTCACTATGACATCAGGAGCCCCTCGCACGTGTGGCTCTTCGCCCAGTCTGTGAAGGACTCCTGGGCGCTGTGTTTTTACAGCCTCCTGCGAAGGGACAACCTGCCCAAACACTGCTCCACCGCGCTCAGCTACGCCTGGCCCTATGCCTTCACTCGACTGCAGATGCTCATGCCCCTGGTGGACCCAAAGTAGGTTTCCTCAGACTTGGCATTGAGTTCAGACAATATTTCCACTTCATTCTTTACCTCCCTCATTATTGACAAAGACATTGGTGAAGCAATAATGTCATTTCTTGGAATAGCCACAACCAACTGACTAAAAAAAGAACAAAAATAGCCATAACTCCGCATATTTTAAAGATAATGGGCTAAGATTTGGTGTGGTAGTAGCTAATGCCCTAAAAAAGATAGATTGCGTGCAACATCTTTCTTTATAACCTTGACATTATCCTATGCAGTTTACCGTTTGTCTGTTAGCAAAACAGCTCATGAACCACTGCATCACTTTCAATGAAATTCTCAGAATCTAATCAGTGGACATACTGTACATCTACAACTGATTGATTATTGGAGGCAACACCGTTCAATATGGCCACCACAGCTATTCAAACATGCCTGCTCAAAAATAGCTTTTCCTCACTAGATTTACAGATACTGAGCTTAAAGTTTGGGGTTAAGTGGCTACTTGTCATTCACAAAACCTACTCTTTATCTGCTAACAGATGATGAGAAATTTATAATATTGCACATAGTGTTATTTTTAAGATTTGACCAAAACTGCCATAACTCTGATATTCTGACAAGATGGTCTTAGTTTGAAACTATGAAAGGCAATAGGTGATATGTAAAAGCCAAATGATACCAGTTCCCCATTAATCTCAAAACCTTTTTTTTTTTATCCCCTGATCAAAATAAACTCATCTTAAAATTAGTATATTGTGTTTTTGTTTTATTTCCTAGCAACCCAGTATATGCCAAGAAGACTGGCACCTCTGGGAGTGGGGACAATTACATAACCTTATGGAGGAACTACCTGATCCTTTGCTTTGGGGTGGCGAAGCCCAGTATCATGAGTCCTGGACATCTGAGAGCATCGACACCTGAGATTGCGACTCCTTCTTCTGACAGCAGCCTCAGCCATGATAACAAGGTAGCAGCCACCCTCCTTATTAATTCCCTCAGTGCTTTGTGTCCTTGAGATCAGGTGTTCATGCTGAGCTTGTTGACATTCATGCTCAACGCATCAAATTACAGCACAGATTTTTCACATGAATGACCCAAGAAACTGATATTTTCTTAACTTTATGGACACCTGTCCTGTATTAGGGCAGTTCTTAGCATCTAAAACAAGTGCTGTTGTTTATTTCACAAAAACACAAGTGTGCATTGAAATGCATGATGTCATTGCCTGGTGCTGCTTATGATCATGCCTCAGCAGATGTGTTCGAACAGCTGAAATTTAGGCCTAAATGAATTTGAAACCAACATGCCTCACAGAAGCTGTACACAAAACAGGAGTCATGACATCATCTCCTGACAGTCATGAACATTTAGAAATTTAAATGGCTATGATAGAATGAAGCATGGGGAGTGGTGGCGAAGAGGTTAGAGAAGGTGGGCCTGTGATCGTCTGTTCAACTCCTGGTACTGACAACATCAAAATGTGGGTAGGATAGGTGAAGCACCCACACCTGCCTCCACCCCCATTTGCCCCACCCTGGGCCCTTGAGCAAGGTCCTTAACCCCCACAATCTACTCCCCTGGGTGCCCTAGATAGCAGCTCTCTGCTCCACACAGAGGGTTGTGATAGCTCGGTGGTCTGTGGTTGCGTCAGGAAGGACATCCAGTGTAAAAATGAGATGAGAACTGATCCCCTGTGCCATGCCTTCACTTAAAAACGGTGCAGTTGTGGTTGAGTATTTTTTTATATGTGAGGTCTGAGCGTCCCTGTTAATTCACTTACGGCATAATCCAAACCATGACTGAGGTGAGCAAAGACAGAGAACCAACACACAGACCTGTGCTCACACCGTGCTTATCTTGACTGAACTATTTTGTAACCTGTGTGCTAAACAGAGATAAAAGATGCTTGAAGAGTTGTTTCTCTTGTGACAGATGTTTGATGCACATCTGTTCCTAATCATTAGGTCAAAGAGACGGTAGTTTTTCTTTGCTTGAATCAACCTTTCTGAAGATGAATGAATAGCAAAAAAGTGGTAGAACGGGACACAAATAGAACAAATTGAGTGTAATAAAAGAGTACAGTATACTACTACTACTACTACTACTACTACTACTACTACTACTACTACTACTAATAATAATAATAATAATAATAATAATAATAATAATAATAATAATAATAATGAGATTCACAATAGTGTGCATTTTAATGCACATTAATTAGTGTTAAAGCAGCATGAGAGTGTTTATTTGTGCAACATAACTGTGTGTGTTTAATTTTCAGGTTATTGGCAGCCCCTCAGTGGCTTGGCTTCTGAAGCAGTTGGTCCCACTAATGAGGTTGGAGAGCCTTGAGACGACGGAGACATTAGTTGTGGGATTTGGTCGCACTAATTCACTAGTATTCAGGTATAAAAAATATGGGAATTATCTATGCTTTCTCTGGTTGTTTCTTACCGGTACTTAATTTCCTGAATTAGTTTGGACTCAAAAATTAGTTGAAATGTGATGATTTGACAATAGTTTAGTGCCAGTAGTTTGATTGGCAGTTTCATTTTTATCTATTTTAATGAAATAACCAATGAAAAGGAGTTTAGATTCAGTGTTTTCTCCATGATTAAAGACTCCATTAACCTACATTTTCACATGGGAAATAAGTAGGGGATTATACCTGAGTGGTGCCTAATCACAGTTTATATTTGCATCCAAATTGCTCCCTAGAGCTCAGATTTCACAGCTCAAATGTTGTTCTTTGGTTATA